CCCGTGTCCCCTGTATCGGCAGGCGGACTCTCAACCACTGCGCCACCAGGGAAGCCTGAGTCCTATACTTTAAATCATTCATTCTATCACTTAAAAACTCTCCACTTTAATACTCAAAGATTTCATGTATGCATGCTTTGTCTTCTGAAGTAAATGACAATATTTGATATAGAATCATGTCATATATTTATGTACTTCCCTCAATTACAGATAAAGTAGGTACTCAGTAGACATTATTATATGAATCCCTTGTTAATTCATTTTAAAAAATATTAAGTGCTTACTCTGTAACAGGCACTGACTGTGTATGTTCAAACTATGTTCGAATGGCCTTATCCTTGGGACTCATCCGTGAGGATTCATGGACCAGAACTCTGAGAGCAGGCTGCCCGAACTAAACACAATGAACACAGTGCTCTCATGCCCAGAACCTGAGTCGGCTGTCTTTTCAAGTCCCATCCTGAAGCATGTATTTTAGTGACTCAATATAATCCTAGTTTAGGAGATATGTCGGGGTAAGCAGGCTGACCCAGCATCTCTCTCTCACTAGGGCTTCTAGCGAGACAAATTAGGGGCTCTAGGAGGCCTCTGAATTCCCAGAAGTGACAAGACCCTTACAGTAATCAATGTAGTGTGGTTCAGAATGCCAACTACTCATATGGCGCATCACTACTTAGCAGAAGAGTAAAGACACTGTGGATGAACTGGGCCAATCCAAACCTGGATTATAACTGGGGAAATTCTGCCTTCACAGGGGATGGCACCAGGATCCATTCAGGATTTCGAGAAGATGGTAGACACCGATTATGAGTGCGCAGAGAATGATTTGTGACTATACATTTACTCAAGCCATCCCTTCGTGCATCCAGCCAAGAAAGCAAAGTCTGTTCCCTGTATTTTCACGTATCTTATGTTATTCATGATAATAAAATTAAATAGTACTTTTAACTTGTCAAAGACCTCTCATGTCTATTAATCATTATAATGCACTTTTAAAGTATCATTATATCTCTGTGGTAGAGGAGAAAGCCAAGGTCCAGAAAGGTTGAATGGCTTACTTACGGGATCACGGTTAGTCGGACAGGGAATTAGGATTAAACCATTTTCATGACTGTAAAAGCAGCATCCTTTTTCCACTAGGACTTATTTACATTCAGGGAAATGATCTGAAATGAAGAGGAGTCTTAACGCCTAATTAAGAGTTGTCTTTGTGAAAACCTATTGGATGCTGAACCCAAGAAAGCAACAATATTATTTCTGACCTGGGGAGAGCTTTCTGTGAAAAAAATAGGTGTGAAGAAGTCACAAATTCTGAAATAATAAGTGATGAAGGCCAATTTCTAATACTTTATTTCATTTTATATAAACAGAGACAACCTCTTGAATGACAGATTTTCCACGATATTTACTAAATCTACCATAAATAAGAAAAATAACGATAATGGTAATAACTTGCTCAACATCACTCAGCAGGGACTAGCCTCTTGTTTCCTAAATATTAGTCTACTTTCTTCCTATCTTCGCACAGAGATTGAACGTCTTTCTTATTTCAATCCTTATTTTATTCATTTATAAACATCTGGCTTAATTATCGGCCAACAGTTAAAACTCAAATAAAATCTTGTCTTTGTCATCAATAAATTAAAATACAATTCTGTCTCAGTGCATATCTTGCTGAATTATCTCTTCTGTATAATTAAAAGTTCTACGCACAAGTTGCTGGATCAAAAAGAAAAACATTTATTCACCTTCCACCCATTCTTCTTGGCTTCCAAGTTTAAAAAGAAAGAAAGAAAAAAGAGGGGGTGGAAAGAAAGTTGTTAAAACAGGATCTCAAACAGCCTAGACCCACGGTAACAGGGTGAACACTTTTCTGGCACAAATTCATGATTAATTAAAACCGATTTCATTTCCAAGCTACAGCTTGGAACAGAGTTGTAGGGACCCAGCCCTACCCTTGGTAAAAAATTAAGTTGTCTCATCTTTCATAACCTTTATGAATCTGCTAACAGAGAAATATTTTGAACCTGATAGGAATATACCATTATTCCCTAATGATATCTTTTAAAAAAAATTCTCATTTAGCAAACTTCTCTATTTTCCCGAAAATCAAAGACTATGAAGCATCATCCATTGTAGTGTAATGCCCAATGACATTTTACTTTGTTTTATTATTTTGATAGCTGATGTATGAGGGATTGCATCACCAGTCTGCACACAGAATAATCTGTCATCTGTTTCTCAGATGTGACTAAAAATAACACAATTCCTTTCCCCAGGTCAGGCATGGGTAGAGTTTTTTGTTTTTGTTTTTCAATTGCTGATTGGTTCAATCTATCGTTAAACACTTACCTTAATTAACGTCTTCTAGTTCTTTTTTGTTTTTTCCTTTTGTCTGACCTGAGATTAAATCCTTTCTTCCTCTAAATACCAGTCAAGTAGCTATCATAACTAAAAACTGTCTAGGCCAAAATTATACTTAGTGAGATGCAATAAATTCTAATGTACATTAAGTGAACTATTTTTAAAAAGTTAAGTCCTACACAAGTCAGAAAAAATAAACCAAATTCATATGCAAACAGTATATTTCAAGTAATATAGATATAAATGTAGGAATTGTATTTAATTGAAAATAGGTTCCGTGTTTTAAGGTATGTATCATTAAATTAATAAATTTTTCCTATAGTATTTCCTCTAGGGGAATTAAAAAACATAGGTTTTGTTTAAAAAGGGCACTAACTTAAAGTTAGAAAAATAGGACATTAAAAAAGAACACATGAGAAGAATAACAGTTCAAAAGCACATAAGCGCTGGATTAGTGAGAATCTGAAACAAAATCTTCTCCCTGTACCCAGGGGTCCACCTCTGTCACAGACCCCCTTCTAAAGAGCAGATGACTGGGGAAGTTGTCATTGGATCTGCATCCATGTCTCACAGAGACAGTTTCCCTACCTAACAAAGGAAGATCCTTCTGCAAGTGAATATTCAAAGACAATGGTTTCCTGAATCCTTTCAAGGCAGGAAACTGCCTAATCATTCAGGGCCTGATAACGTCAGGAGTCTCTTTACCATCAGAGAATATGATCTGAGCCCTGAAGAACTTGACTCATTCAATAATGAAAATGCTATTAGAAAACACAATCCCAGGGCACACTGGGAGCTGTTCATTATAACAGCAGGTAAAGGAAAGTGAAGTCTTCCACATCCCTTCCTTCCTCCCCAAACTTAGCCCTCTCTTTTGCCTAATGACACTCTGGGAACTGATCAGAACATTAGACGGAAGCGTTCTTTTGTGACTCTTGTGATCAGATATTCAGTTTAGCATGTCATTTTTGACAGAAATAGAACAAAGTGAACACAAAACAAGAAGCCACGCTCCCCCGCTCAAACTAGTAACTGATGAGGCTCGTTGAACTAAAAGCTGAACCGAATCATATTTTTGTTCTTAAAGAGAAATATTTTAAGCTATGTATTTGCTGAGTAATCACATTAAATAAAAATGAAACTAATAATGCAATTACTCAATATTCCCCCCTATTTTCCTATGTGAGAGGCTGCAAGACCAGAACCCACCCACTTCTAGAAGTACATGCCATCTTCTCTTCACCTACACCGTGCACTTCGTTGACAGCTGCCGCTGTGACGTGCAAATTGCCTCTCCTTGTGTTTCACTGTATTTGACTACCAATCTTCTCATTTTGAGAAAGTGTGTCAGTTTAAGCAAGGGTGCTGCCATGATCGAATTTCATTTTAAAGACAAGAAGAAAGGGACAGGGGTTCAAATAGAAAGAAGGCTGAGGGGCTTGAGTCACTGCAGCACTTCTCCTTCACCTGGAGCCTCCTCCCTATGAAGTCATCCCATGTGACCCCATATAGAGAACAGCACTCATCTGGCAAGGTCAAAGGCCAAAATGGGGACAAGCATCCTCCCCGTATCTGCTGGAAAAAAGAGAAATGCTTACAAGACAGTCTTTCATTGGATGACTATTAGCAGGGTTAAAAAATTTAAGCACACTACCACTGGGATATTCAGAAAAAATACAATCCATTTATTTTGTATATAATCAAACATCTTTTGTCTTCAGCCTCCACATGCTGACTAGCATTAACTTTTGCCCAAATCTTACTATAAATCCTACGCTTTGTCTAACACGACGGATTTTTAAATCCATTGAGAAACAAGCGTCCATCATCAAGAGAATATATAAGCAACTGTGTTAACAGGTAAACCTCAAAGATATTGCCGGTTTGGTTCCAGACCACAGCAATAAAGCAAATATTGCAATAAGGCAAATATTGCAATAAAACAAGTCACACAAATGGTTTTTTACTGCATATAAAAGTTATGTTTATTCTACACTATAGTCTATTAAATGTACAATAGCATTCTGTCTAAAAACCAATGTACATACCTCAATTAAAAATACTGCTAAAAAATGCTATCATCTGATAAAACAGGGCTGCCGCAAAACTTCCATTTGTAAGAAAAATATATATAGTATCTGGGAAGTACGACAGAGCAAAGTGCAATACGAGCGCGCCTGTGTATATTTCCCACATTGGAATCTTATTCAGCAACATTAGGAATAAGCTGATGCGTGCAACGATATGGAAGAATCTCACAAACACTATGCTGGGTGAAAGAAGCCACACACAAAAGACTAAATACCACAGGATTCCATTTGTACGTAACTTTAGTGCAGGAAAAATTAATCTATGATGTAAAATTTAAGAACAGTGATTGCCAGGGAGGGCAGAGACTGACTGGTAAGGGACACAAGGAACTTCCTGAGATGACACTGACGTTCTGTATCTCCACAGGGGTTTGTATTGCACAGGTGTAAGCATTTGTTGGGATTCATCAAAGGCTACATTTAAGATTTGTGTGTATCACTGTATATAAATTTTATCTCAAAAGAAAAAATGCACCGTAAACAAATATGGAACTTTAATTAGTGCTATACATGCTCAAGTATGTACATAATTTGGGGTGAAATGTAATGATGCCTGAAGTTTACTTTGAAATGCATCAACGATTAGATAGATGGATGGAGAGAGATGGATACATGGCTAGGCATATGGTAAAGCAAGTACAATAAAAGTGAGTGGTAGAATCCAGTTGTTGGGTATACAGTGTTCGCTGTAAAATTCATTCAACTTTTTGTATATTAAAAATTGTTTATACTAAATTATTGACAAAGTTTTGTTCATTTGTTTTTAAAAGTAGACCTTATCTCTTGGGTAAAAATGTTGAAGAGAAGCAACTGCTTTTCTTCCATAGATGGTTCCTAGGTGTATGCAGGTCTGGTTGCATGGATCACGGTCTTTACAGAGAAAGGAGACTTGGGTACGGTGTCATCTTATATCTGGAGAGAAGTCACTTGTCTACAGATTTGTTGCTGGCCCTTCTGCTTCTATGTCTGAAGGTCCTGAGGCTGTTCCCAGTCTGTTTGTTCTGTTTGATCAGAGCCTGGAGGTATGTATGGCACTCTGACCTTCACCTTAGCTTCTGCTTGCTACACTGTTCTGAATCTTGGTCGCCACCTCCAATGAGCGTGCTGACCTGCCAGTTTATCTTCAGACACATCTGTAAGAGTGCACTTGACCTGCCATAGCAGGCCCACTGGGCCTCCAGGCAGCCTCAAAATCGCACAGAATCTGAAGAAAGCCTGGAAAGGTAAAACCCACAATCTCCTTTGTGCCTGAGCATGGTGGACCACCAAGGGGATGCTCTTCTTTCCTTAAGGAGAAGCCCTTCCTTTGTACTTTCTTTACACTCTGCGTACTTTTCCTTCATAGCCTTATAGCATCTTATTAATGATCTCTGAGTTCCTTGAGGTCACTGACTGTGTCTTGTTTATTTTATCTCTTAACAGCTAAGCACAGCTAGTGTTGCTGACTCAGCGTTCAACACATTCTTTTTTGGGTGAATGAATGAATCTAATAGT